TTAAAAATTGTGAGGCTTTTTTTTTTTTTTTTTTTCAGAAACACATTATTTATTTGGGGGTGGGTGGGTAGGAGTAAGGAGTGAGAGTTAGGGTTGGGGCAATATTCCTGGCAAAAAGCAGAGTACAAGATACAAAATAGACAAGGCCTCAAGTATGGAAACCAACCTTTGAATCCTAGCTAATAATCCTAGCTAATGCAACCCTACTGATACTGTGGTCACATTTATTAGTTGTGACCACATTATCAGTAGGGTTGATTGTACCAAAAAATTATGTATACATTTAAAGAAACTGGGTTTCCATATGTTTATGTTATATGGTATTTTATAAGGAGTTCTGGTGGCACTGTGGATTAGGAATCGGGCTATTAACCATAGGGTCAGCAGTTCAAAGCCATCAGTTGAAGAAAGATAAGGCTGTTTGTTCCTGTAAAGATTTCCAGTTCCACTCTGTCCTCTAGGGTCAGCATGACTTGGAATCAAGCCCATGATAGTGGGTTAACCTTTGCAAGTCATTTCACTTCCTGCAGTGGTGCTTCTTCCCTTAGAAAATATAATAATCATTACAATAACAAGACTGCTTCACAAGATTGTATCAGGATCAAAAGAGATGTGCATTAACATGCTTTGTAAATTATTAAATATTAGAATTATAATAATGATTAGTCAATAGTTTACAAATAAGTTTGTTGTTGTTAAGTGTCATCAAGTTGGGTCTGACTCATAGCGATCCTGTATGGCGTTTTGGGGACTTTAAATCTTCACAGAAGCAGAAAGCCTCATCTTGCTCCTATGGAGTGGCTGGTGGGATTGAACTACTGACCTTGTGGTTTTCAGTCCGGTGTTTATCGTATGGAAAAACACACAAAAAACCCCTCTAATTTACAAGAAGTATCAGAAGTTAACTGGGTAAATACTGTATGTAAACGGTCCACTTGCAGAAAATGACACAAGGCAAAAGTACTTACTTTTTCACTTCTTTGACCTCGGTTTTTTCCTGGTCTTTTTCTGAATCCTTGGTATTTGATTTTGAAACACCAGTAACTGGTGGATTTGAGGAAAACTTTATTTTCCTTCCAATCATCTTATCTGAAAGTACATAAATGAAGGCTTTAAGTTCACAATCTATATTATTACAGTTTGGACTAGACTCAAGTGCCATTGTTGTGCTAATTCTAAAATAGGAAGTGTTAAAGTCATTTACAGTTTACATTCTTTGTGTACTAAAAATACTATGTGGTGTATGGAAAAGACAAATGGCTCTTTCAATAACATTCTAACTGGTCTCCCTGTCTCTAGTCTCTTCCTCCTCTATTCATTCTCAATGCTGCAGCTGGAATTCATTTTTTAAAGCAGTCATCCAACCTTAATACTTCCCAAATTAAAATCTTTCAGTGACACTCATTCCCTCTAAGCTAAAGCTCAAACTCCTTAGAATGGGGTTCAAGTCTTTTCACAATCTTGTTCCATTCTCTCAATTTCAAAATCCCACGTTTCATAAGCCTTCTTCTCTATACTCCAAAAAACAAGAAATTCTTACCCAAATCAGTTGTTTTACATCTCTGTGCAGGGGCTCATGCTATTTACTCTAGCTAGAATGACATTCCTTCCACCAGCAAATACTAACTCGGACTCCAGCTAATTGATCCCTCTTTGAATTTTTCATGTTTGTTTGTTTTTTAAACATTAGTGCACACTCCTGTCACCAAGGTGCCATTTTACTCTGTATATCTTCTTTTTTATTGTACTTTTAATATTGCATTAAAATTTATTTTCTTTGCTGTCACCCCAACAACCTCATTGAGGGTAGGAAGTATCTTGTAAACAATGGAATTTCCAGTGGCACTGTGAGTTAATGCACTGGACTGCAAAATTGGTTTGAACTTGCAAGGTTGGCGGTTAAAGCTCACCAGTTGCTCCTTGGAAACCCTGTACAGGGTTGCTATGGGTTGGAACCAATTTGATGGCACTTCACAAGAACTACCTGAAAGGAAGAGTTTTACATACTAGTCTGAAAATTTTTCATCTGGGTTTTGTCACCAAATAGCTGTAGGATGTAGAGTAAGTTACTTAACCTTTCAGTGGCTCAGTTCTTTCCTTGGTAAATTGACAGAGTATATGCTAAATTATATTGAATGATGCAAAATGCATCAAGAAAAGATGGAAGGAATACACAGAGTCATTGTACCAAAAGGAAATGGTTAATGATCAACCATTTCAAGAGGTACCATATGATTAAGAGCCAATGATACTCAGGGAGGAAGTCCAAAGTGCACTGAAGGAATTGGCAAAGAACAAGGCAGCAGGAACTGATGGAATAAAAATTGAAATCTTTCAAGAAAGTGAGGTGGCACAAGAGGCACTCACTCATCTCTGCCAAGAAATTTGGAAGACAACT